GTTGAAGTGCAAGCTTACATTGATGGTCATGATTACTTTCAAGCCATCGAGAAAGCTATCAATGAGGCAAACAAAGAAATCTTGATCATGGGGTGGTGGCTTTCTCCTGAACTTGTAAAGTTTGCTTAAATCGATATTTATAAATGTTAACGTCTTGAACAAAAGTGCCTTGATTTTTTACATATAATAATTATTTTAAAATTGATGTAGTATCTCTTGAGACCTTGCGATAAAGATGACGAAGATCTTCGTCTTCATTCCATTCTCAAGAAAAAAGCTGAAGATGGAATCAAAATTTTTATTATACTCCATCAAGAACAGCCTGAATATTTTAAAATAGAATCTCAACATAGTGAAGACATGTTGCGACACGATAATATTTTTGGTAATATGGAATGATATAAATCATTTTTGAAACGCAATATGATTATTTGAACGTTGTTTCTTAAAATAGTTCTGAGGCATTCTTCTGGAAACATTGCATCAGTCGCTTTCGATAATTTGATGGACTTTTTTGACATGCGTATTCCCAATGTTGACAGTATGAATTTGGCGTGGTATGTAAGTATATATGTTTTGACGATTGTCATCACAGTTTCGTTATTACATCGTTACTATTTATTTTTTTCACTTAAATAGCATCATGAGGTACGAGTTTTACTTCCCTGCAAAAACTTTTAAATGTTATTTTTTAAAAAGACATAATATTTAGTATTTTCATACTTATTATTCAGAAAATCGTAATTATTGATCAATATGAAGCATTTATCGGTGGCTTAGATTTGTGCTTTGGTCGTTACGATACCAAGGAGCATATTCTTACTGAAGCTTCAATTATTTCTAAAAATAATGAAATTTGGCCTGGGAAGGATTATTACAATCCCAGAATTAAGGACCTTGAGTTTGGTATGATTAGATCACAGTTATTTAACTAAAATTGATCTTAACATACTTTCAGATATCATTCTGCCAATTTAAATATTTTAGCATACACATACATTATGATTTGACTTTAACAAATTGTCTGGAAATTTGTAGTACGTGTATGGAAAGAGTCTTTGATTAAAAAATCAAAAGACGCAAGGATGCCATGGCATGATGTTTCCGTCTCTTTTGTACGTCCTTGATAATATATTATATACACAAGTGTTAAATATTGTTAAGAATTTAAAGTAAATGCTTCTTATTCATTAAAATTGCAGAAAGGGAAGTGCGTGCTGGATCTCGTTTCGCATTTTAATCAACGATGGAAGTTTATTAAAGGAAAACAAATCAACATTTTCACTCCAGAAATTCATAGTTTTCCAGAGAACATTTCTGAACTTAATATAAATTCTAGTAATATTGGTACATGTAATGTCCAAATTCTTCGAAGCTGCGGAAACTGGAGCAATGGCGTTGACATTGAGGTGATTTTAAATATCTAGACTTTTTCCGATTAATTTAGATCAAATGTTAAATCACGCATTGGCAAAACAAATGCTTTAATAGAAGTCCATACAAAATGCTTATATTGATATGATTTATAAAGCAGAACACTTCATTTACATCGAAAATCAATTTTTTCGTAGGTACTTAATTCGTTTAAATCACTTAACTCAGAGAACTACTTATAAACCTTGCTCCATATTTTCCAGTTACATCTACTAAAAAAGAGAATGAGAAGCATGCTAAAAACTTGATTGGTGAGGTAATTCCAGTAAAGTATCTGTAATAAATTTCAATCTCATATATCGTTAATGAGATTATAAATAATGTTAGGCAATCGCTGCTCGCATTAAAAGGGCAATTGAAGAAGAAAAAGAAGATAATCGATTTAGGGTAATAATAATATTACCTTTACTCCCAGAAATCCCAGGTGAACTAGATTCCAGTAACCAACAATTATGGTAAGCAGTAAAACCAATTTAGATTTCAAACCTCCTAATGCATTAGTTAAGAGACTGACATGTATAAAGTCAAATTGTCCGCTATCAATATCAATCTATCCGAGGTTTGATGAATACTATTTCAGACATCTGCAAAGAGAAGGGAAAGCTACCAGAAGATTACATAACATTTTATGGACTTCGCAATTGGAGTATTATTGGGAAAAATAAACAAGACTTATTCAATTCAAAAAATCTCAAAGACATCCCTACCAAAAATATTGTCGCTGAGCAGGTTTATGTTCATTCTAATATCATGATTGTTGATGATAGGAGAGTAATTTGTGGTTCGGGTGAGTCGTCCTTTACTGCTTAGTAAATTCAATTTGGTTGCACACTTTAATAATAAATTTGTTAAATTTCTGAATTCACTCAACTTATATTCAGCAAATTTGAATGACAGATCGATGGCTGGTGATTGTGATTCTGAAATTGCTGCTATAATAGACGATACTAAAATGGTAGATTCCAAAATGAATGGCAAATTGGTAATGAAATTTTCGTTTGCAGCATTACAATAAATTCTATATTAGGTTAAAACATTTTTTTACTTTAGTGGAAAGCGAGTAACTTTGCTTACACACTTCGAAAAAAACTCTTCATGGAACATATCGGTCTATCCGATGATGAAGACCATTTGGTGGTAGACCCTATATGTGATTCCTTTTACAAAAATTTATGGCTCAACAAAGCCAAATACAATACTAAAATTTTTAGAAATATTTTTCATTGCATTCCTGACGATAATGGTAACTATTATCATTATTATTATTACTACTATTTAGAATCAATAGTTTTTTTTTTTTTTACAAAACTAATAAGTATATCTAACTTTTTTTTTC